CCCCCCCCCCCCCCCCCCCCCAGTGTTGGGTGTTTAAATACTTTTGAAACATTTCAAACACCAGCAAAAATTGTTTCCTAGGGAAAATGTAAAATGTACATGAAATCGGAATGGAAGAGTCCTTCTTTTCAGAGATGTTCAACCTCCTCAGTAGTCATTATTTCAGAATCTTGATTCATATTAAAAGTTAAAGATGCACCCAAAATGAACTTAACTTCTGGTGACTGCATCCACAGAGGTCTTTTTGATAGTGATTAGAAGAATGATTTGCCATTATTCTTTAGACATCCAAACTTATCTATAGGAGCTTGGTGCTGTCACCTGCTTCTGAATCCTTACTGTCTAAAACTTCTTTTCTTTTCATCAAAGATGAAATGAATGCAAATTACAGATAGTCCTCATTTAAAAACCACAATTAGCACTGGCAACTCTATCACTAAGCAACACAGTCATTAAGCAAGATATCACATGACCATGACTTACAACTTTACTGCTGGCTTCTCCATTGGCTCCACTTGTCAGAAGCCAACTGTGAATCACACAAATGGTGATCATGTGAGCGCAAGATGCAGCAATGATTATAACCACCTACTGGTTGTGAAGTGCCCAAATCTTGATCACATGACCACAGGGATGCTGTGACAGTCATAAGTGTAAGGTCTGGTCATAAATACAGTATACCTTTTCAGCACTGTCATAATTTCATTCCCATGCTGCCTGGGAAATTCTGGGAGTTGAAGTCCACACATATTAAAGTTGCCAAGTAGAGAAAAAACATTATTGTAGATGGTATAAGCTTCTTCTCATCCTTAGCCTACTGTGGAGACAGATTATGTTCACCCTTAGCTGTTCCCATTTCAAGTAGTGTTTTCTATCATTTCTTGACCCAAATCTTGCCATACAAATGGTCTACCATGCCTCACTCACAATCTTTGTCTTTGCCATGTAAGGGGCTGCTCAGCTGAGTTCCTATTGGCTGCTTGAGTCTGCTGTGGGCATAGCCCTTTCCTTCTGTTTACTGGGCACTGCCCTCCATGACTATTTTGGTTTAGAGTAGAAGGGCAACTGAACACCTGGTTTCCAAGGAGGTATCTGCTCATGTAATGCCTGACTTTCATCAAAGCATTGTTCAGGCATTTACATGGATGCCTTATATACATTGATATATTAGTCTTTAGGAAGGCCAGTAGAGATATTATTACATGTGTTCAATGGTCTTTCAAAAGATGAGTTTGTCTGTCTGATAAAGTATAAAAGGAGCAATCTATTGATTTTAATTTGAAAAGAGGTACATTATGGTTCTCTCCCAAATGAGTGCATTGGTTCATCACTTATCAATTTGAAGTATTTGGGAAGTGGCTGATATTGACAAACGTTCTGCTTGTTTTCCCTTCTAGTCCAGATGACAGGAAGACTAGTAAATTTCTCACTCAGCCATTCACTCATCTGGAAGACTGATAAACCATTGTCCAAAAATAGCTTAGCTTGTAGTGCAGTACAGGTGGACAGGAAAAAGTGAAACAGAGGAGAGTTCTGTGAAGGTGCTGCTCCTCCGCATTAATTTTAGATGAGCTATATTTTGACGTAAAATTTTCAATCTTACAAAAAACTTGTACGTCCCTCTTTAGAATTTCCCCGGGTAATAGTTTAAAAAGCAAAGAACTTCTGCTACGTTAATGCCTCACCTGGGCAACTTGAAAGTAAGGCTTTAAACAAGATCACTGAGTCTAGGGAATAAATAGAAGGATATTATTAATTATGAGCAAATGGATTTTCCAGGCTTTTTTCTTATCTGCAAAACAAACTACTACTACTACTACTACTACTACTACTACTACTAATACTAATAATAATAATAATAATGTTAGCTCTTCACCCTGAAATACTGGGAACAAAAGTTTCAAACAGCTCTCAGAGACTCTTGACTTTTGCCTTGACAAAAACCTTATTAGTGCT